ATGCAATTTGTTGTAATTTATGTGATAATCGCTGTACTGGTCGTAAGAGCAATAAATGCCGATCGTACTCCTAAATTGTGATAACGACGTCGGGCTGTCTGTTAAACGATAGATAAAGAATTTTAAAATATTATCGCTCGGAAGATTAATTTCAGAACGTGGTATGAAAATATTAAATACGGCGATGGAATTTTTTTTCCCAAATTTGGATGCAAAGTATCCAATAAGATGCGCAGATGTGGTTACAATATTTTCCAGCGCCCACGAAACTGAAATTCATCGTTCAATTCAACGACACGAAGTCGCGCGCGTGATCGAGCCATTTGAGATTCAAACGTGAACTTGATACATTCCCGTTCGTCGCACGGGTAACGATAGCGGCACAGATGAAGAAGGCTTCGGTGTCGCGCTCAACCGACAGGGAAGACGTTGCCAATTTATCACCGGGAAATGACGTAGAAACAACCGAGAGATCCGAAAACGAAGCAACGAGAGAGATGTTTGTCGAGCCCAGTTTCATACCGTGGCGCGTGTTTATCAATCACGTTGACAGCTATCACGGCGGAAAACTGGTCGACGTAAGTGTCAAATTTATTATCACACGCGCGATTCTATTGTATATATATATCAATCACTATTGCCACGGCATTTCAATGAAACGATCGCGATACGATATTGAGGTTAGATTCTCGTTTGAAATATCATTCTCTACCGAAAGAGACTGAGAAATTTTCGATAAAAGTGTGCGTTGATGCGTGAGAAAAAGTGCGGCAAAATATAAAAATATAAAATTTCACACGAATTGTGCTTAATCTCGCTGATCACGAAATTTCTCATTATCAACATAAAAATAACAAAAAAAAAGAAGCTTCAGAGCAGCTCCTTAAACAAATTCAACGAGCTTTGAATTTTTCGCGATTCTGTCAAAAAAAAAAAAAGGACATTCCCAACAACGCGAAGATTTGAAAGAGGTTATCGGTGTTTCATTGCCAGCACATCCCACATGCACGTATCGTTGTATCGATTTCGAATTAGTTCTGGCACATCCTCTTTAAACATCCTCCAGGCAGAATCTTTTTTTAACGACCGACGTTGCTGCCTCCTTATCGGTTAGGTGCCTTGCAAATTGCAGGCAAATTGCGTGCCGGCGAATTTGCGGTCGCGTTAGTCGATAGTCACCGGCAACGTCGAACCGCGGACTTACTTTCTCCGCGACGAATGGGCAATTAGGGGAAGGATGCGTGTGATTCCCGTTGCCGTGGAGGCAAAGTGCGACGTAACTTGGACCGACGCGGCATAATTAATACGTAACCTTGAACGGGAGGATTCTTGCAGTCGCGAAATGCTCCGCCGATTTCCTCCGCTTGAACACCTTGGCAAAAACCCGGCGCGTAAATATTCCAGTGGATCGTAAACTATTGAACAGGCTCGGAGAACCGTTTAAACTTTGATCAAAGAGTTGGGATTCCAAGTGATTTCGAAATCCAGAGCTACTGAATCTTCAATGAAATTAGATATACCCACGTGGCGATATTTTGTTTGAAAATTCATATTCTACGTGTGTAATACGCACGAACTCATTTTTAATATATATAAATTAATATACTTGTAAAATTATAATATTTAATAAATATGATATTAATTATATTAACGTTTAAATAATATTTAAATTAATATACTTGTAAAATTATATTAATATTTAAATAACATTTAAATTAATATACTTGTAAAATTATATTAATATTTAATAAACATAATATTAATTATACTAATGTTTAAATAACATTTAAATTAATATACTTGTAAAATTACATTAATATTTAATAAATATAGTATTAATTATATTAATATTTAAACAACATTTAAATTAATATACTGGTAAAATTATAATATTTAATAAATATAATATTAATTATATTAATATTTAAATAACATTTAAATTAATTCACTTGTAAAAACTGTGGATTATTCTGGATCAAGTATAAAATTCAGTTTTTCTTTTTTTAACACTTGAATTAATTTACCTAAAGAATTTCTAGATTATTCTAGATAAATTACGTATTAAATATTTTGATAGAATTATAAAATTTTGTTTAATTTGGTATAGTATTTGTTTCACTATTGCTCGGGGACAGTTTTTAAATACCAGCATAAAAATTTGTTAACATTTTTAACAACGTTTTCCCGGAGTTACGTAGTTGGGATCGCCGTCGACTTACGAACCATGGATTATTCATGAAACGTGTACACGTTACCGAGAAGCTCGCGTGAATGGTAGATGAATTTTCAATCGACTTCGTTCGTTCACTGCAACAAAGTTGAGACGACACTCGACCGTTTTACTTTCTCTCCATTTTCTAAAAGTATTCGTATTTAAACTCGCTGGAAAAGAGTTCATCGTTCCTGTTACAATCGAATAAAGGACAATTACATTCTCACGTTCTCGTTTTCGCATTCGCGAAAAATCAATGGGGAACACAAACGAAAATCGCCGATATAGACAAACGTGACGTCCGTAATGAAGCTGTTATCCACATTGAAGTGGCTGCAAATCCACACGCTGAACAAAAGTCGTCCCACGTTCCCAACTAAAAATAAATTCAATCAATTATCCCATGCGCATAGATCGCATCAGGTCCTACGACAATTATTAATGTAGGAAGTAACGAAGAAAAAACGAAGCCACGTTCCCATTCAATTAATTTAGCAAAAACAGGAAGCGCACGAGGTCTCATAGATGCTTAATTGTAACATGCGCGCGCGCGAACGAGCATGCCCGTACAATTTAATTTCAAACGCGAATTGCGGAGTAATTTGCTCGCCCCTTTTAAAGCCGACAGCCAATAAACCGGACTGTTGTGCCCGTTTGATTCGCTGATCGTGGTATTAATTAGATTCTCGTCCGGTTGGCCACCAAAGAAACGAAAAATTGAATATCCCGCGCCGAAAACGCGGCTGATTAACGATCAGGGGAAAGGTCATCATTTCAGAGAGGAACGACGCTAATTAAACCGCCCTTTGACCAATTAAATTTAATCGTCGATCCGGCCGGAATCTGTGCCAGCTCGTTTCGAGCGGAAGCCGCTTCTTTTGTTTCTACGTCATCGAGCATCCTCCGCATGCAAGACTCTTTCTATCGTCTGAATGGAGTTCTTGGAGGTCGAAAATCTTTCCTAGAAACTGAAATCGTGGAATGGAGAAACGAATTGTAGGAAGAAAGTTGAAGCTGCGTTTTTTTTTTTCGTTTCATACATCGACGTTGAGAGATATTTTGCGTGCACCAATCGTAAATCGTGCTCGCAAAATTTGATGTGGGTAAATGATTGATTCTCGTCAACCGTTAGATTACAGACTATTAACACGTATTACCGAAGCGCTTAAAACTGAACGTCCTTCACAATTTATCACCGAAGCAATAAAATTGAGATTGAACGTAGAGTAATGATCTCGTTGGACGCTATCCTCTCAATTAATTTCCTCTTCGAATTCTGGGAAGGCTTCGATTATTCCACGAATATCCAATACAATGCAGTTATAACGATGTGTAATGCGATATAATGATACGATCATTAGCGAAAGATCAGAAATCTTCGGCAAGGCGAAAATAAATTCTTTCTTTGTACGTGCATGTCTCATAAGTCAAAAATCGAAGTAAAACTTATTATCTCTTATTATCCATTCACATGTTTCTTGATCCCTATTCAGGTATACTACTTACTACTGAGATGATCTTATTTAATCCTTTTTCTTCTAAAAACATATCTTGATTGTTAGTTGAGGTATTACTGTCGATCGGATCAATAGAAATACGAAAAGGGACGAAACTTAGCAGGAAGGAAGTACTGCGCCATATTTTTCACTTATTTCTTCGTACATATCATACTTTCCATTCAGTAACGGTATTTGTATGCATAGTAAACAGCAGCCTTCTCTTCAAACATCTTCTCTTCAAACGTCGTGACAATCAAGCTCCTCTTTTTCAGCTCTTGTCGGATCGCGTGTACATTAATCCGCAAGGGGTGGATTTGGAGGAACAGGGGGAAGAAGAGTTGGACGAGGAAGATCTAGCGGATGAAGAAACATTGAGACAGAAAGAGGATCCCGTAAGGTTGAAAGATTTAGAGGACTTGCCGAAAAAGTACGAAGTGATCGGGACCATCTCGGATCCAGAGGTAAACTACACTCGGGAACTCCTTTTAGCGCGATTAACACTGTTTCCGAAGATCTGGAATTTTTCTCAGTACTTCTCTACACCGTAGAAAGTGCTTCTACTCTCGTTTGAAAGTTGAAACAAGGTTGAACGAAATTTTCATATCATTTGCTCGTACAAATTCAGTGTTTTCTCGCCAAGCTTGCAGCGAATGTTCCTCTTCAACGTTGACGTTGATCAATTATTTGTCGAGAGTTTTTTCTGCAGTTTCCTTAAATTTTTAAGCATTTATGTTTGTGAGTATACTCGTCGTTTAGAAAAAATTTGTTTTTACTATTTATTGGAAAATTTAGGTAAGAAAGTTACATATATTTGTAATTTCTGCACATTTCAGAATATCATCTCAACAAAACAAACAAAATATGCACTTGAAAATAAGGCGAAGAATCGTCGCAAAGACAAATTAAATTCATTTCTAATCATTTAAAAATATTTGATCTTTTTACTTTTGTCAACGAGTTGATGAAAATCCACTTCTCTTCAGTTGATGAAAAGCTCTTCTCTCAGCATTTTGAATTCTTATTGGTACTTTTTTTTTTTAATGGAACAATTTTCAAAAGATAAAGTATTAAGTTCTGCAAACACCAATTAAAAATTTTTCAAAGAAAGAACACCAAAGAAGAAATTTTATCATTTTGTTACAATTTAACTCAATCTTACAGCAAGTGTATTCACTGTGTTTTCGTCGAGTATACTCGTCACCGCCTAGAAATAATTAAGCACACCAATGCACATTCTCGCTTCTCGTTCCGTTCTTTCAGCGCTCCGCGCCGGAGGACGTGGCCGTGATAATAAAAGATACGCGCAACCAAGACGCCTTGCTGCAGGAATTGATGAAGTGCGGCATCGTGATATACGATATCACGGAGGATCAAAGCCAGGTCGAGGAGGCTCGATGGGCACTGAAATGTTAGTACCACTCTGGTTCGATTCTACGATTAAGTCGTACTGGTATCGAACTGTTGGCAAACGAGCAACAATCAGCCGCGTGGAATCACCATCTAGCTCGTAACAGAGGAGCCGATACAATTTCCTCGAGGAAATTTCAATTCATGCCATCCCCCCCCCCCCCATCTGATTTAAAATCCCTGTTGTAATCCGCAACTACGGGTATATTTGTCTGGATAATTATGCAGCGAGGATCTCGTGCCTGCTGAAAAAGAGAAGAAAAAGAGAACCCTTCCTCTGGAGATAAACGAAGAGCTTGAAACACGTAAGAGGCAGAGAGAAGGAAGGATCTTTTTAGAAACAAATAGAAGGCGAAAAGAGAGACAGAGAGAGAGAGAGAGGCGTGTGCGGGTCTCGAAGGACGCGAAGTAGATGCTTCTCCGCGTTGACGGAGGTTTTATCCTTGAACTCGCTCCTGTTTCTCGTCATTATATCGACGGATGATGCTCTTTTTATTGAGTCTGTGCGCCGGTGGATATGTATTGGCAATATCGTAATGCGTGAACGCGATGATGGCGGTGGATTCAGGGCGCATAAACGCTCTCGACGTCGCGTTTACGTTACGTCGGCGTTGAAAGGGCCGTTTCGGGAAAGGTCTCGGGTCTTTGGCGTTGCAAACGGGCGTGGCGTCCAACGTTTAAGCTACAACGATTTCAAGCCACACGATCTGGACCACGTGGAAGCGGCAAAGGTTTTTAATAGATATTTTTAGAAGCACACAGGGCGAGTGTTCTTAATAGATTTCTTGTAGGCAGGTGGGACTGCCACTCGACCCTTCAACCAGCCGCTTTCAAAATAAATAATACGAGATGTGATTCCCCACTGTGAAATTAACTTCGAGATTTTATTATTATATACTTAAAATCAATACGAACTTGCGCGGCCCCCCCCCTCCCCCCTCTTTTTACCGCAATTTCACCTTCAACATTCTGCACGCCCTGGCAAACTTCGTACATCCCAACAAAAAGTCATTAAAGTTCTCGACTCTTCGTTTCATCCGTTTTTCCTTTAGCCATCGTTCAGCAACTGGAGAAAATGGAGCAAATATCGCCGAAGGCGTTTAAACGTAGCGACGAGGTACGATACTTTGTTCTGATATCCACTTTGATGACCTGGGCCAGCACGAAGCCGTTAAGTCCGGATGAGCCGCAGCTGCCGTTCACCGAGGAGGACTACCGGAAGAGGAAGCCTCATCCAAATTTCAAACGGCACGTTCAGTGTGAGAAGGACGTGGTAACAGCGAGGAAGAAGATCAAACTGAGAGACAAACTGAAGACGTTGGTGATCTGTTGCGGAGTGACTTACGGCGACGAACAGGGTCCTCTGCATCACTTGTTCAAAATGGCGTGGCAGAACGCTCCGTTTCTGCCCATCGTCGGCAAGGGAAACAACAAAATTCCATTGTTGCATGTTCGTGACTTATGCAGGTGAGCATAAAATGATTTGCACGTGATTTCGTGAAATGGAGTTTTAGTTTTAATTGGGCATCGAACTTGATTGAGTTTGTTCGTAATGTTTGCTAGAATTTTGTAAATTGCCTCGTTACAGTGAAGAGCATAACAGAGCAGACATGAATGAATAAATTGTTGTCAATTTAAATATATTATATATTATATTTAATGTATTGAATATATAAAAAATTAAATATATATAATATAAAATATATAATATATGTAATATATTAAATATATTATATTAAATATGTATAATATAAAATATATAGTATATATAATATATTAAATATATTTAAATATATTATATATTATATTAAATATATTATAATTTCATAAACAATCTACGTGATATCATATTAAAACGCTATTTTAACTGTCTGTTTGAAACTTCTATCTTTTACCCGAAAGATTTTGCATCATGCAGCTGGTGGAAAAGTAAAGATATTTTTTTTCTTGAAATTATAGAAAAACGTTTAGAAAACATTAAAACATCCGTACAAAAACATTAAACTTTTTTTATAACTAAATCCACCGTCTCGAAGATTAAAATTTTTTCTTTATAGTGACTTCTTAAAATTCGCTGTATGTGTCTCTTTTTTTTACCATTTTATTCGAATAACAGAATGTTGGAATTTCATGGATTTTTAATTTATTCTACCATTCAATAAAATATGGAACAAAATTTTAAGGAATCATCTATAGATTTCTCTAGAAGAAATTTCTATCTTCAATGATAGTTACGAAAAATACTTTTCAATGCTTTTACGCGCGTTCGAATTTTTACAGATAAAAATTTTCGAGATAAAAAATTAGACCAAGTGGATCGCTACATCATCTTTTGTTACAAAGTTAAATTAGTTTATAGTGTCAACAATTTTTCATTGTCGTTGATACAATTTTGATCTTCGCTGTATCTCTCATCGAATCACTAAACGTGTTTGAGTTCTCTCAAAAAGTATTCAAAAAGAGAGAGAAATATTAATGGCACGTTTCATGTCGATACACACAGCGTGGTGTTGGACGTGTTGCAAAATTGGCCTCCATTGCGGTATATCGTAGCTGCGGAACAGGGACCAACCTCGCAGAGTACTATTGTCAAGGTATTACGACAAAAACATTTCGCCGCGTGTACTCGACTTTCGATCATATTTCGCGCTCTCTACTATTTCAACCTGATTTATACAAATTCTCTTTGCGATCCCTTGATAATTCTCTTTTCATCTAGTTATTTCCACTGACATCTGTTTCATTTCTCAAAGTTCTTTTTATTAAGAAAACTTCTTCCCTTGATATTGCAAGAACGACTATGTCTCTGCTTTCTGCACGTATGCTAGTTGATTCAATAATCAACTAACAGAATTGGAAGGGAAATTAATTGGTGGTATTAACGTTTCTAATTTTGTCTGGGAAAATTGCAGTGTTCTTATATTTAAAAAAAGAAAAAAGCACAGGGAAGGAAAGAAAATAGCATTGAGTTTTTAGGCTGCAAACTAAATAGCCTATCACGCAATCGTGTACGAGGCGAAATGACGGATAGTTGGAGAGTTCAACGCTTCAACAGCTAACAGATGATCTTAGACTGAGTATATCTTGTTACTGATTAGTTCTGCTCAGCAATTTGGCTTGAGCAGCACCATCGTTCCGAGCAATTTCGAGTTACGCCGAAAACGTCGAAAATAACTTGTAAATTAAAAGTTAAACACCGAGTTAATTTTCGATCTTCGAATACACGTTTATTAAAATCACTTTGACTGTACTTTCGATTTTTCTTTCTCTTTAGAATCTATCCTCAATAAAGAGAAATTCTTATGTCGCTAATATTGATTGTCGTGTTCTAAAACTCTTAGAGTGACAATCTTCTAAACTTCATCGTTGTTCTTTCGTCTGTATGATATTCAATGTTTCTCTTACACTTTGCTTAATACGTAAAAAAGTGGAAAAAGAGGCGCAGCGTGTATTTTTGCAGCGATAAATCATCGACACACGACCTTGTTTCGCAGAGAATCAGCAGAGCGCTAACCACCGGCAAGGTGAAAAAGATCGAGCAGGAGGAAGCTTTCTTACTGCCGGATGTCACGCAACGAACGTACGACCAGACGACGATGAATCTAATAATTGATCCTGTGTACATCGCAGATAGGATATCCTGGCATTTTGATTCACCGTTTCCCGACAATATCGACGCAATTGTCAAGGAATATAAAACAGCACGAAATTTGAATCCCGTAAAAATAATAGTCCTGGGTCCGCCAGCCTCTGGGAAAACGAGAGTCGCGCGTTACCTCGCCGATCATTACAACATTCACTATATTCACGTGAAATCGTTGATCGCGAACACAATCGACAGTTTGGTTAGCACAGATTACCTATCCCATGTTCAGAATCGAATCAGTTTTAGTTGAGAAAAGATTTGTCAATTTAACAGATTGAAACAAGTGGCGTCCAAGTTTTCTGGAATTATAGTTACTTGGGCGAATTTTCGAATACTAAAACAAGATCGTACAACGATAGGAATGGATTCGTTCTGAAGTATAAAGCTTTTCAACACATTTCTCGAAAATGCTATAAATTGTCGTGGCGTGTAAACATTTTGTTACGACTGAATTTGCAATGAACTTGAAGTCTTCTATTCAGAATGAAAACCCGACGCACGATTTTTTATTCGACATTTTGTTCAAAACGAATACAAAAATATTGCGCTGTCTAAGCCTAATATTCAAAATGTAATAAAATGCTAAAAAAAAAAAAAGAAGAAAAAGAAGTCGTACGTCAAGTTTCAAAAGATCATTGCAAAGGCTTCAATCTTCAAACATATTGTAGAATTCAGTCGCAGAAAGAATTTTTCAATGTTTTTACATTTTTTCATAAATATATGATTAACATTGTATAATATATGATATATGATATATATGATGATACTATATATAATATCATAAATATATAAATATATATGTTTTTACACACAGAAAGAATTTTTAAATATTTTTATATATCATAAGTATATAAATATATGTTTTTATATATCATAAATATATGATAAATATTTTATAATGTATTGTATAATTGTATATGATATATATGATAATATTATATATAATATATTTTTACATATCGTAAATATATATAATAAATATTGTATAATATATAATATACGATATGTATGATAGTGTTATATATAATATCATAAATATGTGAAATATATTTTTATATATCATAAATACATAAATATATATACATGTTTTTACACGCAAAAGAATTTTCCAATGTTTCTACATATCGTGACAATTTATAACATTTTCATCAGAAGAAAAGTGTCTCCGTTTTCTCGCCTACTACGTGATCTTGAAATAAAATAAATGTCTCTGCTCTGAAAGCTTTAAAACGAGCTCGAGATTTATCGTCGTACGATTTTGTAACATTACGTTTAAACATTAACGTAAATGTAACTGTATCTAGTCCAGGGATGGTGAACTGACAGCTTAAGAGATCTCTCAACTGCGTTTGACC